GGCAAGCAGGCTTCAACTTTTGGCAGGGGTTGCAAAGATCTATTGGGCAAACCTGGACAAGAAGGTTCGAGAGAATCAGCAGAAGCAATTGGAGATTTGTTTCAAAGAAGTCAAACATGGTGCAATTCAGTGGATGATGGCACACGAAGAGGTTTTAGGGCGCAACGGTTTCTCGAAAGGTCCGGTCGAGGCCTTCGTTCTGTTGCATCCACGACCTTTCGATGGAGTGTTTGACGGGGACTTCGTGGTTTTATTTTTTTTTTTTTTTTTTTCTTTTTTTTCTTTTTTTTCCAGCCTTACTATGGCTACCCGGAGTGGACGGCATTCCAACATACGGTCGACTTTGGCAGTAGAGTTTAAACGTACGATCAAATGAAGACAGATATTGAAGCTGCTGAACGGAAAGAAATCATGGACGAAACATCGTCTTCTTTTGTAAAAGTATTGATTAGTGATCAAACAAGCCCACAGACATTTCATACAATACTGGAGCAAACAAATTTGCAGACTGCTTTCATGGTTCCCGCGCAAAGAAGTTGGTTTTAATCTGCATTAATGGTTCCCCATGTGTGGTCTCCATTGGGTGTCCATCCTTCGGGCCGTCCCTTTTCTACTTTGGCCAGATATGCATCCTCGTTGGTGCCCGAGCACCACGTCCCTGTCAGGAGATCCACCGGTGTAAATGTCATTCCATAGTTGCAGGTCACCCTCGAATGGTGCAAATAATGAAAATAGGATCCAGCAAATTCTTCGTGTCCGTGGTGGCCATAGACGGGGTTGACAAATGCCAACATGTTGGCATAAAAGAAAAGCAATGGATGGGCCGCCGTGATCAAGCAGGGGATAGACGGACCGGTGAATGTGATGGAACTTTCCATTGGAGTCATGGACAAACCGCTCCAGGGCCCTGTATTCCAGCTTCTGTGATGATGAGCATGAATCCATTTGTAGAAGGGTTCTATATGCATGGGATAATGGTACAAGAAGAAGTGAATATCCCGCCAAAATGGATAGGCAATGAACATGAGAATTGTCGGGTTTCGGCTCAGTTGATGAATCCCATAAAAGGTATGTTGTAAATAAGAGGCAAACACGACCCGATGCCCCAGGCTTGCAGCAGTAACATTCCATGCTGCGTTGATTCAGGAACGACATCGCAGGTGTACTTGCGCATCTCGAATGTGTGCGATTACCTTCCTGGTGGCCAGCGTTCTGTTTCTCGAATTTGCGCGCGTAAAATCTCATGTCCGCCTTTTGTGCGGACGTACGGATCCATCTGATTGGACGCCTTTGTATAGTAAATGGCAAATCCAATAGTGAATGTGCGGACAAAGACTGGTGTCATCCAGCTCCAGTGGAAATCGGCGCAGTCTTCAATATTGGGTGTCAAGAAGCGAAGCACTATCCATCCCATCGCCACCGTCATCAAATTAGCCTTGACGGCTGGCCAGTCGGGGCCGATAGATTCGCCGCCGCGTTTCATGCGGTTGCGTTCGTACCATTCACTCCAGGTCTCGCCCTGGTTGTTGGTCCTGTTGCTGAAGCTAAGAAGAGCTGTTCTGGCTGGGCTGTTTTTTGTTGTGGTTGTCTTCCTCATTCAATCGTTCCTTGCTGTCAATTGAGTTGGAAAGGGGTTCTCGAGCAGAAGATCTTTTGAGACGTGGATATCTTTTTGAAGACAGAACCCTCTTGGCCAATGGGGGGTTGGCTAAGTCGCACAGCTCCGATCTCTCGGTCATCAGAAGAGAGCAATGGAACCTCTAACGCAAGCTCCGGTGACGTTGACATACCGTACTGCATCGACCCGGCTAGTGCCTCCATGATACCCTGCAAAGGCGGGAGCAAGTAGGCACAACAGTTCGCATACGCAGCAAATTTGGCTCCGGGTACATTCACCGACTTGCGGCAATGGCGATTTTCAGCGTAGTCTCCTGTCCATCGAATTGACCCTCTGTATGCCTGAACGGGGGGGGGGCTGAAACAGGGGAGGGGCAGGAGTGGATAGGACATAGGAGAAGACAAGGCTTCGAACCGAAAGTACCGGTACCGGGTACTGATAGAGCTCGAATTCGTTCGTAGGTCTTTGTCGCTCACCGGATACCTGGTATCGTGGTCGGGTTGTATCGGCGGCTGACAGCATGGATTCGATAGCAGCACTTCAAACGCCGTCGAAGCCTCGGAGAAAGAAGGAACATCCCTTCTAATTAAATCACCAAACCCTTCGGAAGCTTTTGCTTTCGAAATGTCGTGAACTCAAACAAGCTTGAAGCCTGGATTGTGATTCGAGCTCCGTGGTACTCGAAGTAATTGCCGAGGGGATATCCCACTCTGGAGAAGACAGGGAACGTCAGGAGGGAGAAGCATTCGCTGATTGTTGTCAAGTTCTTTTTGGGTCCAGACTACACAATCGCGTTCATCGATTCATTATAGATCGCAGGTGACAGCAAACTGCAACTACGCGTCCCACCCAGGCCCCATCATTAAGGACGCGTTATCAGCTACATGAAAGACAAAGATAGGCGGTTTGAATCCGGAGTCCATGAATGCATCTATTCAGTGAAAACTACATGAAGGAGGTTTCTCAGTGTCGGCTCCGCGGAAGCCAGCAAGAGTCCACACCCAAGCTCGGGAGCCGTCGCCTCAAGTGCAAAGCCCTTACAGTGGTATTGGGACGCTCGAAAGAGAAGCGGGCCCCGAGGCCGTTCTCATCGAAACTCGTGGTAATGAGAAGAAGCTGAGTTGCCATCGCGACAAAGATTACTTTGGTAAAAGTCATCAGGGCAGCGCCTCGCATTTAATTTGGGGCCCTGTCTAGGAACGATCCACAGGGAGAATGAACATCAGGGAGAATCTGCTGCAGACCTCCAGGAACACACAGGAACCTCACTTTTTGAATGGTGTTTGGCTTCCTGCTTTGTTCCACAATGGAAAAATCTCATCCTTTGATCAATCAACCATGTTGCCAAAACTACCCTACCAGAATAACAAATAGAGCCACCTATCAACACCATGAGATAGGGGATAATAATTGACGTGCCTGTGCAGCTGGTGGTAGTGGCTTTTTGATTTGCCGGTCATAGGAGCGACGAATGGCCAGCAAAGTAGGTCAGCCATTTTTTCGCAAGGTTTACTGTCACTGACTGGTTGACCAATCTCTGTCCCCACTACCAGCCCCATTGGACCCATCTGATGGACCCATTCCTTCAGGTAGACAAGTAGCCAGACTTGAGTGGCTAAAGCCATTGGTACTAGCATAAGAGCCATTAGAATAGATGCCAGAGTTGTAGGTGCCTCATTTTGGATTTGTGGTCCGCGGCTGCCACTTTTTCTATTAACTTGTTGATCCTACTCACTTTCAATGATATCATCCTCCCTAATATGACCATTGGATCTATAGGTATGATTGGGTTGGTAGCAGAAGGGTGACACAGTACGAAACGAAGGTGGATCTGACAACTTGGGAATATTTGGGAAAAAATGAAGCATCTAGTTTGACATAAGATAATGCCTTCCACATGGCTGTCACCGCTACAACCAAGACATGGCTGTGACAAGCAAAGAATGTAGACAACTCTAGATAGTTGGTTTGGTTGTGTAGGTGCCATATTGGTTGAGTTCATCGTGTAGTCATCGTGAGGTACTTTTCACATCAATTTGTGGCTTTTGTTAGTGAGGGAAACAAATTTTTTCCGGATATTCTTAATGAAAAGGGCTTTAAACTCTTACTTATGTCATTTTGGGTCTTATTTATCTTCGTTTGACAATAATGTAAATGATTTTGACACTTACAGTGAAATTCTCATTTTGTACAAGCTGGTTCCATTGTGTCGGCACGCGAAGAACAGGGTGGAACATTCAGGGAGAATATTCTCACTGTCGGATCATTCCTAGCTGTCCGTCCCTAGCACCACTATCCCTAAGACAAGATATCAGCCAGTCCCTGGAGCTATAGTGATGAGTCAACTACGGCGACAACACAAGTCGACGGTTTTCTTGGTAGGGCTCAGCAGTCGCAATTATTTCCACAGCAGCCAACAAATTGGCACGGCCCGCTACGGTGTTTACCGACAGGTAGTGGTAATATACATGCGGCGGTGGCAGCTATGCAAATGATGGTTCCAACTTGCATCAGCATGTCATGTAACCTGGAAGGACCAACAAAGGTCAAGACGACTATTACTATCGTACCAGGGAACCCTTGGCAAAAACACAAGCGACCTGCCGTGTTAGTTTGGACACCGTTTCTATGCAATTGTAGTAGCAGTTTCTAGTCGAACGTTACTACCGCAGTATGGAGCAATGCAGGAGACAGTGCTGGTGTTTTGTATAGATTGTTATGTACTCCAGTAGCCCAGTTGGCTCTTTCATAATAATCCTGATTAACGTCAATCTTGCTTCATCGCCTCAGGGGTCGCGACCAAGTATCCCCAATTCAATGATATTGAACTGAGAGGTGGACAGGACAAAGCGTTGAGGTTTTAAGTCCCAAAGGAAGCAAAGAAGTCATCCGAGCCCAGTGGCTTCCTTGCGGGTGACTGGTTGACTGAAGGAGGAGTGAATGCTCTTTGAGGCGTAGCAAATCCACCAGACGATGGAGCAGACCCGACAGCACGGGTGCTGGAAGGCTGAGAACCAAAGGACTGCTGCGAGCCAAAAGAATTCTGAGATCCAATTCCACGCGATGAAGCTGGCTTAGAGCCAGAACCAACACCACCCATCATCCCTCCGCTCCCAAACTTTGCAGCCATCCTCGCTTTGGCTTCATCACGAAGTCTGGTTTGCCGCGCAATGTACTGTTCATCTGATTCTCCAGTCAGTCGGCCAATACCATTTCGGTCCTCCCCAGGCAAACCTGGGGCCTCCGCCACAGGAGCTCCACCTCCACCAGGGACACCTACGCTGGGAGGGGCAGAGTGAGAACCCATGCCCATGGAACTGGAGCCAACACCACTCAATCCACCTGATCCAAATTTGGCCGCCATGCGAGCTTTAGCTTCTTCTTTCAGTCTGGTCTGACGGGCAATGTATTGCTGGTCTGTCTCTCCAGTCAATCGTCCAACACCATTGGGATCCTCTCCAGGCAAACCAGTGGCAGAACCCATGTTGGAACCTCCTCCTCCGCCATTGGCAGGGTGACTCATTGAATCGGAACCAAACCCTGCATACATGCTACCTGTTTTCTTCGCCGCAAATTCACGCTGAAGATCTGCCAAGCCGTCACCTGCACCTGGTTGAGACACAGCCTGAGCGGCAGTGGTAACGCTGGAGGTGAGGCCACCCCAAAATCCAGCACCCGCACTCTTCACAGAACTGGTGACGCCGCTGATTGATTGTTTTGTCTTGTCATCGTTAACAATAGAGGCAGCAAAGTTGAAGGCATTTCCTAGGCCCGAAACAACTGAGTCGGTGACGGCATCCATAGAGGAAGCACGCTGATAATTGGGGTTGCTTCCAATGCCCTGCATACCACTGGAGCCAACACCCCCCATGGAAGATCCACCAAATTTCTGGGCCATTCTGGCCCTGGCCTCCTCTCTCAAGCGTGTCTGCCTGGCAATGTATTGTTGATCGGTTTCTCCTGCCATTCGCTCCATACCATTAGCATCACTACTGCCAAAGCCACCGCTACTAGGTGCTGGAGTGTATTGTTTTTTCGGAGCTGGTTTTGGCAATTCAGTGGGCTCTGGCCGGCCCTCGATTCTGGCTTTCAACACTTCTTTGTACAATTGTGCCACTGGACTTTCATATTTTTGTTTGATGGGAGTGCGGGGATCAATTCCATTTTTCTTCAAATAATCGTTGCAGTTATCATTTCCTCCAGTTTTCATTGCTGCAAGCTGTTTATCAGTCCAAGAGTCCATCGCAATCGAGCGTACAAAGGAGATATGGACACCTAGCGATCTGGTGAAAGAGACAATTAATAATTGTTTATCAAAAAACACATATTTCCCACAGCTTCTTCCTACCATTCAAATTTTCTTCCTACGTACCTGTGGACACCACTACAATCCAAACAAAAGACATTTCCAAAGCTGATACTGGCCCACTGAGGATTCTTCATCCCACAATCGCAACAACACTTGTTTCCAGGCATCGCCCTCACCACGGCCTGATCGGCCGCAGTCATTTGCACCATGGTTGCTAGGGTTTTTCCTTCAAAATTAATACAGTGACGATCGCAATTTGATGGGTTGTGGTTGTGGTTCTTAGTCAGTCGGTCGGTCGATCTGTTCGTTGATGGGTGGCTAACTTATTTGTTGCCGATGAATGGATACGATCTCAGCAGTCTTAGTGGTAGTGGTAGCAGCGGCAAGGAGTTGACAGGGAAGTTCCACGATGGATCGCTAGTACCTGGTAGCAGTAGCAGTGAAAGAGGGCGAGATGCCTTTAGCTACAAGCTAGCTAGCTAGCTATAACTAGCTAAGACCTGGTATCTGAGGAGTTGTTGTTGAAGAGCCAGAAAAGTAGAAGGGTCGAGGAAGGAGGAAGATCCCTCGCGAAGTTCACAGTTGTGGATGCCTCAAATGGAAAGCGGGAGAGGTTGTGCCTGGCTTTTGAGAACCGCGGTTTTCAGCGTGGAAATGTAATCGTGGATGACCCACCAGTTGGTTGATCCACTACTGGTACCCGGAGGCAACTCAAGCTAACTACATGTACCGATAGTGGAGAAGCATTTTAGACTGACCTACACTCATCGTTGAAACAAAAACCTTGTTCCGCTGGCCACTGGGTGGGTGGTCCCAGTACCGTAGCAGAAGAAGGCGACGAGCGCAGCGATCAATGTCGGTTCGACCCCATGGTTAAAAAGGTGGGGGGGGAGTAAGATACTACTAGCAGTACTCAGGCTAACGTAGGGTGAGGTGGCCCTGTTTATCTAGTATTGTAGGAATGATCAGAAGAATCTCTCGAGCTGACTTGAGTCGAGTCGAGTCATCATCATGCCATCCGTCTTCGCACTTTGACAGGGAACCCATCCTTCATGGCCAAGACCAATTTCCAATCAAACTCCCCCGAGTGCTGACTGGCATCTTCAAACTCAAACTTGGATACCAGAAATGCCACGGTCATCTTGAGTTCCATCAAAGCCAATGGTTTTCCAGGACACACCCGAGGACCAGCATTGAAGGTCGGATATATCGTCGGACCCGGTTCCATTTTATTCACAAATCGATCTGGATCAAAGGTATTGGCATTGGTCCCCCACACCTTGTCGCTGTGGTTGATTGAGTAGATGGAATACATGACCAAGGATTTGGCGGGAATTCTCGTACCGTCTGGCAAGACATCGTCTTGAACAGCAAAGCGAAAACTGTCGGGTACTGGACAGTGTAGTCGCAAGACTTCCATGACAACCGCCTGCGTGTATTTGAGTTTGTCCACAAAGTCATACGTCCATGGCTCGACAGAAGACGACAGGACTCGCTCCACTTCGTCACGAATCAAGCTGACGACCGCTGGGTGTTTGGTCAATTCAAAAATAGCCCAAGCGATGGTCACCGACGTCGTATCCCGCCCACCGAGTACGAACGTCATGACAAAGGAACGAAGGTCCTGTTCCGTGGGATCTTTGCCATCGACGTTGCGACAGTAGGCAATGAATTGATGTATCACGTCCAGTTGCTGTTGTTGTTGTTGTTTGTCGTGTCCACCACCCTCCAGAGCTTTGCGGATAATGCCAAAGGCAAAATCATCAATGACGTTTTGGCATTCCACCACCTTTCGTTCTCTCTCGCCAATGACAAACTTTTGCTTGTATTCCCAAAGCGGGTCGTTGAATCGTTGATGTATGTAGAGTTGCAGCCTGTCAAAGGCATCCCCGAAAGCGTCCATCTTTTTCTGGTTTTCTTCATCATCTTGCTGTTTGTTATTGTTGCTATTGTTGAGAAGCATGGAATTGACTTGATTCAATTCCACACCAAACGCCAACTTGGCAAATACGTCAAAGACCATTTTGTAGCACAGATCCTGGAAATCAAAGACTTGCTCCTCCTTCTCGACCAAAAGATGTTCCACAATGGCTAATTTTTCCTTGAGAAGAACGGCGGCATGCTTGACGGTCTCGCGGGACAAGACGGTAGTTGTGATTTTTCGATGAAACTTCCATGCGTCACCATCTGTTGTGAATACAGCCGAGCCCATGAGTTCTTGGAAGGATCTGAATGGCCGCATATAGCCGAAGGATTAGTAAGGATGCACTAAGAAAACCTTTTATTACAATTTCACGCCCTGCAGCAAACCTACCGTACCTTGTAAGTCTCCCCTTTTCGTAATTGGCAAAGTTGTCCTTGAGAATGTATTGCAAACACTCGGGAGACACCACATTGAAAAAGGCTCCTCCAAACCCTATATTCAGGGTAGGTCCACCCCACGTGTGAAAGTTCCATCTGCGTGACAACTCTAACGACAGTGTTGGCCACTTGGCCCATTCAAAGGAATCACCGTCAAAACATTGATTGGATTCTTCTTCAAAGGTCACACCCACAAGTTTGGCGCGCTTGGGACCTGGAAGGCTGGGATCAATGTCAAAGGGACGAATCCAAGTCCAGACTATGTACAGAAACGAAACTAAAAGCAAGAGGCCGCTGCAGACCAGTTCCCAGAGTAGATCCATCCTTGGAAGGCTTGTCCATCCGGATGGATAATAAGATACGAATCTTTGGATTCTGTGGAAATTGTGTGCGAAGGTGGGATGCACCGCGAGACTGTGAGATTGGCTTGAAAAGAATGAGAACAACGACGACGTCACTAAACATGCCTGCTGGCTTCTTTGGAAGCCTCCAGAGCTGTCATTCACAATTCCACCAGGACCCAATCTCTCCGTGTGTTGCGGACACGGCGCTGCGACTGTATTTGCCATCAAAGCTCAACAGTATCAGTATCTGTGCCGGTACGGTACTGTACCGTACTGTATGAGCCATGTCTGCCACCAGAGTCAACAGAGAATGCTTTGCTCATGTGCTGATCCGTCACGCCAGCTATACGAATCAGATGAGGATCTTACTTCCAGCAGCTGCTACTCTGACGAGGACTGGTGGAATCCATTTACGGTACCGTAATCCTGCGTTGCTCTTGTAGATATGCATGGCCCGCGGACAGTGTCCCTTCCAGCAGCTGGAACCTTTTCAACAGCAGACCACTCTTGAACTCGACCCTCTGGCAAGGCTAGTTCTACGCGCTCTCTCCGTTGGATTGCTGAGGTGTCAAAACACGATGTCTGGTGACCAAGAAGCTATCAGGGATAGCAGAGCCCGTCATCTCAGCTTTCCTGTTGCTCTTGTAGATATGGATAACCAGCGGACAGTGGAGAAGAGCGTGAAGTGCCTAAATTCCTTGGCTGGTGTGTGGCAAGTCCCGCACCGACAACTACCGTGCTAGCTGGCGTTTGCCATCCTGATCCAGAACGAATCTATAGAACGAATGATGAATCTAGGAGATTAAATCGGGTGCCCCGTGCGGCGAGTACATTGATGCGTGCAAGCTCTCAGCTCTAGTACCATTGTAGAGAGCCCCCAGTGGCGTTTACTAGTAGCAGAAAGCACAAACTATGTTTGTTGCAAGTGAAGAAGAGGACGAACAGGGAAATGTTTCTTGAAGTAGGCACTCTATGTTATTCTACGAAGTCATAGTCTGAGGATATTCCCCAGATAAAATAAAGACAGATTAGTTGGCCAAGGATCTGAGAAGACGAAGAAGATGTAAGTGGAGAGATCAATCCTGGCTTGACACAAGGCAAGTCCTGAGGCAAGTCCAAGCGGTGGAATCCAGTCGATCGTGTCAATCGATGCGTGGACAAAATGTCATCGACGTTCACTTGTTTTATGATGAGTGCCTTGTCTGCTTCAATCGTTGCATGGTTCCGCAACAAAGCAAACCGAGGACATTCTTTGCTCTGATTTCTAGCGATCCATTTCGTCCTCTGAAACGACAGCCTCCACAATCTTCAACAGTGATTTATCGAAGCAATCAAATCGCTCGTCCATCTGATCAAATCGCTCGTCGATGCTCTTGAATCGCGCTTCGGTTTTCTTCTCGAAGCTATCAAATCGCTTCTCCATGCGATCAAGTCGCTGGTCAATCTTGTGGTTGGTGGTGTGTGCGGTGGGTAGGAAAGACATGAACACCAGGCAACATGGAGGACAAGTCGAGCCCAAAGTCGACATCGTTTCGTCGAACCTTGCCGTGCTCGCGGAGTACTGGTAAATCATGCCAACCGCAGCGACGAAAGCGTTTCCCCCATGGTTAGATGTCATACTTCCAACGCGGCCGGCCAAACCAATCGAACTGTCGCCGGTAGTTTTGTCACTACTGGTTTCATTCTTTGACACATTGTCTGTTCTACCTCCTTCAACATCGATGACGGTGGCGTCCGATGCGCCGCAAATGGGCGGCTGCATGTCATCGTCGTCGTCGCGGAGTGCCTTCTTCGAAACAAAGATGATTTCGGGGCAACGGCTTCTTTTGCAAGCCGGTAGCACTGGTTCGACACCGGACACGGCGCATTCAACATCGAATCGTGGATGCTCAACACCACTCACCTCTCAGCTCTGGTCACTTCACAATCAGCAATCACGCAATCACAACAGACCAGGTCCATTTTCGTCCAGAGGCACCCTGTCTTCTGTGTCGGGATACAACGTTGGATCAAAAGAGCCTTTATATTGCTCTCCTCCACGATATTCGACTCTCGACCCTGGCTGCTTCTTTGTGTAGCGGAAAGATCTGAGATTGGAAGCCACCATGATGAACACCAATAGTCCTGTTGCCTCCACGGGTGGCACCGATGACAAAGGCACTGATGCGATCACAGCATTGAGAGTTGCACAGTCGGAATTAACTAGTGGGGATACAACGGGAAAAGTGTACATGCGGCTCTCAGAAGGAGCAGTAGCATTTTTGACGAAACGCACGGTGGTCAGTACGGTATTGTTTGGTTTGAGTTTCATTGCTTTTTACTTTTTTACTTTGGACTTGGCCAACACTCACACTGTCAACACCATGCATGTATCCACCCCCAGGCGGAAGCAAGAGTAAAGAAAATGATACAAATAGAAATAGCAAAGGATCCGGTCCAGCGGGCGTCATACCCTTGAGCTGTGGGTTGCACCCAGCCAAGAACCAGCAACATGCAAGGGAATTTCGATCTTCTGTCACAATCAGTTCATTACTCCGTGTATATTCAAAGAACAGACAGCCGTAGGCTAGTGCCCTCAACCAGAATTGAATAAAAAGCCAAGGGGCTCGAGCAGTTAGCTAGTATTTACTACAATGCTATGAGTGATTACAATATCTAACCAGGTTCTTTGTTGTCGTTGTTGCCCTGTTGTGGATTCCATGTCTGAGGTTTTGACGGCAACTCGAATGAAGGTTCATTCTCCGAAGACTTGTAGTAATGAGCAGGTCGACTGGATTGGTCTGCCCAGTACTTAAACCAGCCAGCTTGCCGTTCAAGTTCATTGTAGAGTGATGCTCCCTTTTGCAAATGGCACATGTGATTTTCGTGATGCTTGGCTTGAGCATTCCACTGATAATACCGGTGTGTGTAATCAGCGACCTTTTTAGCACGTCCTTTACTCCGTGTTGAGCAGCAACGCGCCTGGGGAACCCCCCGTCCGAGTTTCCACGCCCCGCAGCGTGGAAACTTGAACCCTGATGGGTTCTCGCAACTATGACCCTAATCATGGTTGCCGAGAGGACCATCTCACAAATTGCAAAATTAATTCCCGCGCTCCTCACCTACAACTCAAGTACATCTCTACATCTCGCAGGTCATCACCTGTGTTCCGGAAATGGATACCCCACATGATGATGCACCGCATCAGCTCCTCAATGCCTCTCGAACAAGATTACCCTTAAGGCAACGACGCCCGTCCAAGACGACATTTGGCAAGATTGACAGCGGCAACCATGAATCACTAAAGCCAGCGACCTAGCCAAGATCAGCCATTGAACTGCCGATCGCAAGAAGGTTGTCTCTCTCTCAGCTCACAATTCTTCATTCAGCCGACGCTGAAGGCAAGAACCTAGATTAGATTAACCCACCTCACCCTCCCTGGTTGCATGACTCAAGGCTGTCCCGTGGAACATCACATTCCCGGGACCCCCTTTTGCCGTGTGGGATCCATCCGGGACTCCCCAGTCCCGAATGGTACCCCGGGGACTGGAGACGGTCGGCTCAGTAAATGGCCGAGTCTCTCCACTCACCTAATCCTCCACTAGTCGTGTCTAGCTGCTCTGGGCGAGCACAGCTTGTCTGCGCTCGCTGACGCCGGCTGGGTTCACGGTACAAGCAGGCAGCGAAACTCATTCTCTGAATCCGAGCTGTAGTCGAAACGACAGCTCTGATCTTCTTCTCCAGCTCGGATCTTTGTTCGATGAATCTATTTTCTATTTTTCCAGCCTCATTTTATGATCCTCTCTTTGCGTTCTGGGACCACTCTCTCCGTTTCCTGTCTCGGTCCTTCCTTTTCCGATTCTCTGATTGTTGCTTTGTTTCCTCCTTATGACTCTTGCACTTCCTTTTTCGGTCGGCTTCCCTTCTTAGGTCTTTCTCCTCTTCTGTCAATCCAGCCCGGTGGAGACGCATTCTTTCTCGTTGGGCTTCTAAATCTGCAAGTTCCTGCTCGGTTGTTCTGTTGGCTAACTTCCTCTGTTTGTATATGCAATTGGCCTCAAGTTTCCTATGGTAAGCAGGTGTTCCACGTTTGACAGGCATGTTGAAAGCAGCAGTTCCAAGACTATGTATTGATGGACGATGGATGGGATTTGGGCATGAGCCCCCAGGGTGGCTGCTACGGCTGCTGGTGTTCTGGTTGTGGAGGGGCTGGGTTCTCATCATGGGGCATCTGCACGGACATAAAAGGGGAGCTGCAAGGACGGAAATCACAACAAATAGTTCAAAAGGCCCTCAGCTTGCTAGCTGGTAGTTGAGGGCAATGTCATAGTGTCTTTAGTTAGAAGTAAGACTAGAGCAAGCCATGAAGTCTGAAAACAGGCAATCCACTCATGGCGGTGCACTGACTGCTGATACGGGACGTCACAAAATTGTAGTACACACAGAGTGGTAGCACCCCGTTTTGGAGTCATCGGGCGACTCCAAAACGTGACGGACAGACCATACGAGATTCGCGAACCAGTGTTGTGTCACGAGTGAATACCGAGTGTTAAATCTTAATCTTGGTTGCCGCGAGCACCGCTTCAACTTAATTTCCGCTCGATAATATTCGTGTGCGATTTGTTGACACACAGTTGGACTCATTCCCGAGTCCATGTCAGTCATGAGTTTGGGGATTGATTCACATCCGTGGACCCCGGTCTAGCAGGACTGAATCAGTCCCGCTCTCAGATCGCCAGGCAGTCGACAGGCAGGCTTATTCGTATTTTCACTGAAGTTCTAACGGGATGTCACGTGAAACCATCTGCTGACTGCACCTTGAGGTAATCCACTCAAATTGAGTCTATTCTCCTTTTTTCAAAAACATTTTCTTCAAAAATATGTTTCCCAGACTGAAAAGGAAACAGCCTACCAAGCTGAATCTGAATTTTAAGAGCCTAATTAGGCTCTTAAAATTACAACAGGCTCTTAGAATTCAGATCTGAAAAACCAGATTGAATATCTAGCTAATTTACACTGGGATCTGAGTTTTCAATTTTCCAATCTTAATTCTAAGAGCCTATTTAGGCTCTAAGAGGCTCTGAGAATTCAGATTCAGATTATTCAACTTCAACAGGCCTTGTGGAGTCCTGCATGTCTCTTTGCTTCATTTTACATTTTCTGAACAATTAAAATTTGAGCTTTTTCTTCCATTTGGAGGACATTACCCCAAGGTGCAGTACACGTGTACCACCCGGTACGCGTGTTGCGCGCAAAGCCAACACCGTCCTCACACCGCTAAACACGCTAAATAAAAATTTAGTGTATTCTTTCGGGGTCAACCGAAACTACTCCAGCGAAGGTCGACGAGGAGGCAATTGCGGTCTCCAGGATCCAACACATACACGAAATACAAAGCGCAACCACAACAGGTGCCACAATGGATATGGATAACTCAATTGCTCAGTGGATTAACTCGAAGATACGCGGGGACGAGCGTGTAAACGATGCAGAGGCGAAGGCGGTAATGGATGTGCTGCAATCGAGAAGCGGACCAGGAATATTGAAGCTTAGCACGGCGAGGGATGCCTTGTTCGATGCCTTCAAAAGAAGACTCCTCAAGGATGATAATGATGTAGATGATACTGACGTGTCTGCGCTAGTATCCTTTGTTCTCGAATCTCGCGATCAGTTCACCACTATTGACCAGTTTGAGAGAGGGAATATCTACAAGACCGCCAGGCTCCACAAGGAGCTTCTCCTCAACAACAACTTGTCGGATTACGTGCAAGCCGCAGAGAATAGCTATGAGAATGCCAAGCCTTTCCTCGACTATCTATTGGAACTCCAGATGCATGATACGGAACTCCCAGAGGAATTCCATGGATTGGAGCCGGATGATAAAGTTTCTGAACCGAATCACTACGTATGCATTACAGCATCTTCTGGAACCGGGAAAACGCAGCTGGCGGCAACCGCGAGTCTCAAATACGAAGCGGCGACAACCATATACTTGAATTTTTCTCTTGAAGGCGCTAGTCAACGGTTCTACAAACCTCACACGTCCAATCAATCAGGGGAACTTGTAGTGAAGTTGATTGAAAAGTTCGCAGGGGAAGTTCGTGGCAGTTTGATCCCGGAACTGGACGAAGACAAAGAACAGGGACGTGTGACAGCCCATAAGATTGGTCATTGGGCCAAGCATCATGACAATGGCACGTCCCTCTTCGTCCGCATCTTGCATGGCCTTCTGCTTAGCGATGAAGATCCCAATGTTTCATCCCGGCTCTGCCAAGGAAACAAGTTTCGCCTCCAGGCGCTGAAAGCGGTGATCGAAGCAAAGAAAACTAAGTTCCTGGTGTTTCTCGATGAAGTGCCTCACAAGACATCTGCTAATTTCAGTAATGTGCTGTGTCTGAGAGATGCACTCCGATACCTGGGCATTGCCCCTATCCTGATGAGTACCCACACTGGATCTCAAGACTATGTGAGCGAAAGCTCACGAGACTCGCTTGATGTCTGGACCGATGCCTTGTCAAGACTTCCTCCCTATGCACCCTTGCCTACAGGATCATCGATGAGACCGTACATTGTTGAGTCGGAGCGTCCCCTCGTCCTTGCCAAGGTGTTGGAGCTGATATACAATAATGAGGGTGTCTCGTTGCGAGGAATTGTCGATGGAGTACGAAGTACCCTTCAGGAGACAAAGGGTGTTGCGTGGAAGTCAAACCCATCTCTTCAACTTGTGCAGCTTTTTTGTACGGATTTCGAAATTGAGCAAGAGACATTCAGTTCGGCTCACAATCTTGTCGGCCATCACTTTGGATGTCTGCAAGACCAAGTGAAGTTTGATCCGGAGAATCTTGGGGTCAAATACAAATGTTCTGAGGCGAGATCGTTTGGCAAAACAGTTGCTGTGGCGCCCGTTAGCGCCACGTACGAGCCCCTACTCTACCTTGCTTTGGTGACATGGGACGAATCCATGCTGCCAGGCGCGAAAAATAGGTACTTCCCTTTGGTTGACAAGAAAGGCCACGCTCTAACTGTGAGGGAAGTCTTTGAAACCTACAAGCATGAATTCAAGCCCAGGGCAAATGCTGCAAATGTGCACGCTATAAAGAAGGATGGAGATTTGTTGGAAGTTCTCGTCCATGCCTCTTTCACTTTGGCATCGATGAAAATGAGCAATGATGACGGATGCTCTCTCCCCGGTGTGGCACTGAAAGAGTTTGCTCCTCTTGTTCGGCGGTTGATGATGAGAGGAAAGCTGAATGCCCTTCCGCAGACCCCTCCGTTATTCGAGTCTATGATCAAAGGGTTTGATTGGCCCAGGATGCCGGCACTTGGTGGCTCTAATTCTGGGTTGCCATCAGATAAACTCGGCGAGGACGCTTGTACAGGCTTCCTCAAAAGACCTCCGGACAAAGAAATGGTCGATGGTTTCATTATTGAGGGCAGTGAGGCCCCTCTGTTCAGCATTGAATGCAAAAACTACAAAGATGGAGTTGACGCAACAATTTTGAAAGAAGTCTTTGTGAGGATCCCGTCGAGCGTGAAGTGCAGCTTTGTGTTTGTGTCCAGCATGAAGCGAGGGACATTCCAAATGACAAAGTTGGCTGACTTGAAGAAGTCTTTCATCAACCATAAGAACAAAGGCATCAGTGTCGTGAGATGGGAAGAGAACAAAGACCCATACGTTTTGAAGGTGAAGGGCAGGGCTGAGTTCAAAGCTACTCAAACAGAGTTGCTCGTCCTCATCATCGAGGTTGGTACTATTGATGCAGGTGAGTTAGACCGAAGCGAGAAGCGTAATTCACCGCCCTGTTCAAACTTTCCGATGGGGACAAAACGTCATAAGGGTGGGTAAGCATTAACTATATGAAATAGGGTGTTTTGATCGTCTTGGGGCGAGCCTTACACTGGAACCGTAGAGCACGGGGGGGGGGGGAGCAGCAAAGGTGAACCGCCATGGGAACAACATGCTCTGCACTTTACCAGGGGAATGCTTCAGCCACAGGGGACAGAGGTACGCATTTGGAAAGGTGTACCCCAACCGTTATCAAACGTTACCCGAGCCAGCCGACATCCCATGCAGCGCCTCCTCACATTCCCGTTGCTAGCCCCTCCGAGACTGGCTAGCTAGCGAAGTAGCTGGCTAGCTAGCAAACCGAAGGTATGATTACCCCGTTTTGGAGTCATCGGGCGACTCCAAAGAGGGACTGAAAGACCGTGAGCGCTGATGTAGCTTTACAGTTCCGAAGAATAATTGTTCTGTTAGAGCATTCAATACCAGGGTACCCCAAATCACAACCCATTTGACATCATCTTCAGAAAGTGTTAAGTAGAAGCTTGATTCAGATCTGCCCTAGAGCAGGCCAAGCAAAAATGCGATTTTATTTGGCTACTCAACGGATCCGATTGACTGACACACGTTTGGGTTTGAGATTTGCCCAACTGTCGAACGTGCGCAAATCGGTCAGATTTGTGTGCCGTTCGAGCGTTGCGCAAAACCCATACATATTTTCCCTTAAGTAAAAGGGTTAAAGTTACAGAACTGTCACGGAATTGTCACAAGCATGACTCAGCGTGTCACATAGCCGAATTTTTGCAAGCAAGCATAGCCTGGCAGCGAGGATGTCAAGCTTTCACCGAATACACACGAATCAATGGTTTGTGATTTGGGGTACCCTGGTGTTGCATGCTCTTACCCACCATGATTGTTCCATTCTAGAGTGAGCGTTTTCATAGTAGCATCTACAAGGCGGATTAGTAGGGGCGATCTCGCGATCTCATTCACTAAGGGCAACACCCCATAATTATAACATACTAGATCGGCTAACCCCCACCTTTTTAACAAGGAAGGCCCACTTGTCCTCAGCATCTTCTTCGAACTTAGTGGCGCTTATCCGGGGTCCAATCGTGGTTATTTCCTGCAGCCATAGCCAACAACTCATCCACATACCAGCCAGATAGGTAGCTCCATTTGCCCCAAATATTGCTTCATTTGCTCTTCAGAAGCATCCTCAGCCGGTGGATCAAGGTAATTCAAACGCGAAAACAAAAACGTTTACCACAGACCCGAAATTTGTCACCACCAAACTTTTATGAATAGTTGATTCAATCGAAGGAAGGGATTTTGAATACAAGGCTTAAGGAATTTGAATCTAAAACTATTGGCTAACTAGCTACTCTAATGTTCACGATTGTAACGCTCTTGTTCTTCTTTTCGCTCGGTAATTTGGAGTTCTGCCGCTGACTGCTCTTCAACAGTAACCCCAACAGGTTCAAAGTTCGGGTTCTCATCACAGATTTTGTAAATGGCGTATCTGTCTGCCGATAGGCGTGTTATGTCCGGATAGTGGTTAGTGAGGACTACAATGTGAGGAGTAGTGCACAACTGAACCAAACGAGTGTGATACTTGTGCCGTAACTCGCCTCGCGTGCGCCAGCGCGTCCAGTGCTCGCGGGCGCTCTGTCGCCAAAATCATAGCTCGATAAAATAAGTTCTCACAATTATCCCAGGATAGAGCACTGTATTTACAGCTACTCCTAGGGAGATTCCAGCGAAAGATATTGCAAAAGAACTGAGAAACATTGAGTGCTATCAAGCCGTGCATTGAGTACAAAGAGGGTTTTGATCCTTCTGACTGTGAGCTGGTCAAGCTGGAAGCAGTCGTTGGAGAACAGGTGCGGAGCAAGAAGCTCCCCGTGTTTACGGCATCCTATGGAGTCGAGGGACTCTTTCACGTCATTGATAGGTTTGAAAAAGCGGCGACGAGATTGGCAATGGCGGTCGGAGATAAGTGGGACCAATTTGAAGACGTATTGGATTCGGTTGCCGCGAGGAAATGGAATAATTTGATTCGAGGTATTGCGGCCCCAGCTCGCAACAACGCGCGATTCACGACCGAGATCAACAACTATGTTCAGCTGTACGCAGAACATGAATGTCCAAGAGACGTACTCATCAAGTACATTAAGAGCGATGAGTGCCAAAAGCCCAGGAAGGTTGATCCGGGAGTACATGCGTCACGGATCGAGACCTTGTGTCGGTTCGCGAATCGTCTCCAAGGAGATGAGGCCGAATTGACTGAAGCCCAGATCAAAATACGCGTGTTCGAGTCTTTTCCGACGATCTGGCAGAACCATTACCGACGTAGCACTCGTCGTTTGACAGAAGATACGATTCAACAGATCGTCCAGTACATGAACCTTTGCAAGGGTATTGCCGATGAAGAAGAAGCGACAAGAGGAAAGAAACGAAAAGCTGCGGATGGTACGGAACGTATCCGCGGTGGATCGAATTCCAATAAGAATAACAACAAGAAAACAGATAAGAAACAAAAGACACTCGACCATGAGACGTGTCCCGTTCATGGAGGTCACACGTGGGGACGTTGCTCATTGAATCCTCGCAGCGAGAATTACGGTCGATATCAGAGTGGTGGTCGCGGAGGACGTTTTCAAGGCCGTGGTGGTGGACGTGGTTCTTTTGGTGGACGCGGCTTTTGTCGTGGCGATGGAGGCCGAGGCTTCATTGGAGGACGTCACTATGGAGGTCGAGGTGGTAATCATGGCCGTGGTTACGGACCAGGACGAGGCTCGTATGACTCGTCTCAACACTACGATACGAACTATTACTATGATAGACGTGACGGACAGCATGGGACTCACAACGACTGGACGCAGTCTGAGTCTCACCATTATCATGGACCACCACCTACGAACAGGTCTGGTAGCTGGCAGTCCGGACGCGGTCCTAATCAAGGACCTCCGTCGCGCTCTGATCGTTGGTGAGCTCCGGAAGGAGGCGAGTTTGACGTTCCAAACGACACTGACAGCTACATTAGCACCTTGGATGGAATCCTTGGTGCTGGTGGTGATGACAATAAGCAGAAACTACACACTTATTTGAATGAGCTGAAAAACATTGTACGGGACGACGACACTGTCTCCACCGCTCCACTAACTGATGACGAAGAATCATTGGGCGCTGACGAGGAAGATGATTCAGATGAGCTCTTTGAAGTATTTGTTCCTATACCTAAAATGAAGTATACCCGTGACCAAGACTTATTGCCATGTTCCATGTTGATTGCCCGTACTATTAACAATGTGCCCTCTATGCGTTTGCTTCGAGTTCTATTTGATTCAGGTGGCACAGCATGTTTAATTAACAAGAAAGCGATACCTCCTGGATGTACTCCGTCAGTGCTGTCCACACCTGTTCAGACAAAGACAGTCGAGGGCGAGTTTGCCGCGAAAACCTCTGTCCGATTGGATGACATTCTATTACCGGAGTTTGATCGCAACAAGCGAATCGATCAACAGTCAGCATTGGTGTTCGACGACTCTTACAGTCACTATGACATGATTCTCGGACGTGATTTCCTTCGGAAAATTGGCCTGCGTCTCGACTTCAGTTCGAATCTGATGCAATGGATGAACCAAACCGTGCGTGGAAGGATCCACACCAGCTGCTGCAAGAACCAACAACCGTGGACGAAGAGTTGGATTCGCATGCCACAGCAATTCTAGACGCGAAATATGAAAAGGTTGATCCGTTGGACGTGGCTATGAAGCAAACACACTTGTCGACTGAACAACGTCGGCAATTGGCCGACCTCTTCTCCAAGTACAACCGACTCTTCGATGGAACCCTTGGAACCTATCCGCATCGACAATTCCACTTGGAAGTTCAACCAGAAGCGACGCCTATTCATGCAAGACCTTATCCTGTTCCAAGAGCACACCAAGACGTCTTTCTCAAGGAACTTGAACACTTGGTCAAGATTGGAGTGCTCCGTGGCCCAGTAGGGGCAACTGAGTGGGGATCTCCTACGTTCATCATTCCTAAGAAGGATGGATGTGTCCGATGGGTTAGCGACTTCCGAGAACTAAATAAGGTTCTCAAGCGTCGTGTCTATCCGTTGCCACGCATCCAAGACATCCTTACTAAGCGAGCTGGCTACCAATTCTTTTCCAAGCTCGATATCTCAATGCAATATTATACATTCGAGTTGGATGAGGAGTCAAAGAACCTATGCACAATTGTCACTCCATACGGCAAGTATCAATATTGTCGAATTCCAATGGGCGTTTCGTGTGCGCCCGACATGGCTCAGGAGACAATGGAGGAGATCTTCAGGGACCTACAGGACACAGACGTGTATATTGATGACGTCGGTGCTTTCAGTGACGATTGGGACCACCACATCCAACTCCTTGATCAAGTACTGTCACACCTCCAAGCAAATGGTTTCACCGTGAACCCATTGAAGTGTGAATGGGGCGTGAAAGAGACTGATTGGCTCGGGTATTGGCTCACACCAGTTGGGCTCAAACCATGGAAAAAGAAGGTAGACAGTATCCTCCAAATGCAACAACCCAGCAATGTCAAGCAAATGCGATCCTTTATCGGTGCCGTCAACTATTATCGCGATTTGTGGCCACGCCGATCTCACGTATTAACTCCTCTCACAGACCTCACCGGTAAGGGCAAATGGACTTGGACTGAAACACATCAAAAGGCTTTCGATGAAATGAAAGCTTTGGTGGCTGCCGATGCTTTGATGGCCTATCCAGATCACAATCTGCCCTTTCACATCTACACCGATGCCTCCGACTATCAATTGGGAGCCTGCATCATGCAAGAGGGCCGTCCTGTTGCCTACTACTCCAAGAAACTCACTCGCACCCAACGTAACTATTCTACCATGGAGAAGGAACTCCTCAGCATTGTTCTCACTCTTTCCGAGTTCCGCTCTATGTTACTTGGCGCTCAATTGCACGTTTATACAGATCACAAAAATCTCACATTTCGCACTCTTAACAGCTCCAGGGTCCTTCGCTGGCGCTTATTTCTTGAAGAATACGGCGCCACCTACCATTATATCAAAGGCGATCGCAATGTTCTTGCCGACGCCTTCTCTCGCTTGCCTCGCATGGATCCACCTTCGGAAGGGAAGCTTGCGCCCTCTAGTGACGCCGCCGTTGATGAAACTTCTCTTTGGAAGGATGCTGAACTTGCGGAATGTTTTGTGAACTTCTCCGTTACTCACGACTCTGTTCCTTTGGATATGCGATGGATCCAGCAACAGCAATTCGAATATCAGCGTCTACAACAACTAAGACATGAAACTCCTCAGCTATTCCCGGTCAAGTATATCGACGACATCCCTCTAATCTGTTGGCGGCCAGATCTGTTCGCACCCAATCACCAGTGGAAAATCTGTCTTCCATCATCTGTTCTCTCACAAACAGTTCAGTGGTTTCATTTGATACTAGGACATCGTGGCAAAACACAAGTCTACGACACAATCCGTCGACTCTATCATCATCCAGGGTTAAAACGGGCAGTGGAGCAACACGAATGTGACGTGTGTCAGAGAGTCAAGCAGCAGGGAGCCCAGTACGTACATCTTCCACCGCGACAAGCCATCACGACGCCATGGGAAGAGGTTCATGTTGACCTCATTGGTCCTTGGAGAATTGAAGTAGCCGGTAAAACAGTGGAGTTTGGTGCATTGACCTGTATTGACCCTGTCACTAACCTCGTTGAACTCATTCGCGTGAATAACAAGACAGCAGCCCATGTACAACAACAGTTTCAAAACTCATGGTTGGCGAGATATCCGTGGCCGAAGCGATGTGTACACGACAATGGTGGAGAGTTTACCGGCTTCGAGTTCCAGCTCATGTTAGAACAAGCACACATCAAGGATCGACCAACTACCTCTAGGAACCCACAATCCAACGCAATCTGCGAACGAATGCATCAGACCGTCGGCAACACACTACGCACACTACTACATGGACATCCACCAGCGAATCATGAGCAGGCAGAGGCCATCGTCGACAATGCTCTTGCCACAGCAATGCATGCCACGAGAGCCACTGCGTCACGATCACTCAATTATCAATCTCCAGGTTCGATTGCCTTCCATCGCGATATGTTCCTCAACGTGCCACTGATGGCCGACCTAGATGCACTACGAGAACGTCGACAACTCATCATCGATGAAAACTTGCGACGGCAAAATGCTAAGAGGCGACACTATGATTATCAAGTTGGTGACTCGGTCTTGGTTCGCGAGATCAACCCCTCCAAACTCGCAGAACGCAGTCATGGTCCCTATCCAATCCACCAGATCCACGCCAATGGAACCATTACTATTCAGAGGACTGCTCATGTTCGAGAGCGCCTCAATCTTCGCCGTGTTTTTCCTTATCGCGTTCAACAAGCATAAGGTTTTTTGTTCACGAGCGACTCGTTCGGTTGTTGTCTCCTCCAGGTCGCACTATTGTTCGCCCTTGGAAGGGAAGAATGCCGTAACTCGCCTCGCGTGCGCCAGCGCGTCCAGTGCTCGCGGGCGCTCTGTTGCCAAAATCATAGCTCGATAAAATAAGTTCTCACAATTATCCCAGGATAGAGCAACTTGGGGCTCATGACTTCACGGTCTTTCAGTTCTTCCACAAAGTCGTATTGGAGATAGAGTTTTCGAGAACGCGCAAGATCAAAGAAGAACACTCTTGTCGTTTCTTTGATGATGTAGGCCATGTCGGCTGCTTTAGATGGTTTCACTATTTGGGTGTTTTTTTCATGAAGAGATCTATAGTATTTCGAGAACCAACTCTTCCCTTGGTTGCCAATGGGATCAACGATGAAAATGATTTCACGAGGGTGTGGAGGTAGAACGAACTTTTGATATAATTTTGACTGCCAATTACGGAGGGGATGTGCTGAAATGGGTTGTCGAACGAGGTGTTTTGAAACGTAGTCTATGCAGAACTTGTCTCTATACATTGCCCAGACCTTACTATGGAGTTCAGCGAGTTCGTCATGGTCGACTATCCCTTCACGGACGGATTGTTTGAAAGCTTCTAAGTCGCAACGAGTTGATTTCTCAGCTGGGCATTCTCCTACTTCGATCCAGTCACCATCTTTCTTGCAATATTCTACGCTTTGATCTAGATGTCGCGTCACCGTACAGTGAGCCTGGCCTATAACACGCACTACTTGACTAAGTCTCTTTCGGTCCTTGAAAATCACAGTGCCCTGCAGATGGGGCGTGCCTGAGGCTCCAACTTCCTTTCCAAATACGATGTATTCTATCGACGCTTCAGGAGGATCAGATGACAAACGAGTGACATCTTCTGGAGTATAATTATTCAAGGTGAAACACCAGCGTTTTGCTCGAGGACCTGATGACCTTTACACAGAAGAGAAAATTGGCTGTTGGTTGGGTCGAGTTGATAGCGACACACAGAGGCTCGATTCATACATGGCGACGATACAACGATGAGGTTAGAACGCTTTCATACGCGGCAACACAACGACGAGGTTAGAACGCTTTCATACACAATGATACGACGATAGAACACTTTCATACACAACGATACGACGATAGAGCGCTTTCATACACAACGATACGACACTAGAACACTTTCATACACAACGATACGACGCTAGAACGCTTTCATACGATACGACGATACGACGATAGAACGCTTTCATACACAACGATACGACGATAGAACACTTAGGGCATTCTCTAGTAGTGCTCGTCCTAAAACTCGTCCTAAGCTACTCGTCCTAAGTTTAGGACCAGTTTTTAGGACGAATTGGCAATCTCTAAAAATCTCGTTCTAAAACCAGACTTAAGATAGGACGAGTTTTAGGACGGACGAGTTTCAGTCTCTAAAAAGCTGGTCTCAAAACTCGTCCTGCAGGCACCTCTCCTCTATCCACCTATTAAAGTGGTCTTGATAGTGAGGCTAGTAGGAGCTTCCCACAA